TCATCAGCCTGCCCTATTGGGATGTTAGCTCCAGCTGAGCCCTGTTCTGGTCCCTGAGGCTGGAGCACTTCCCAGTGCCTGCAAGAATATGTACTCTCTCCTTGCTGGCTCCCCGTTTCTCCAACCCATGGGGGCTTGCATTGCAGCTGCTGGGAGGCCCCTAACTACCATACCTGCTGGGCTGCAGCACTCAGACACTCAGCTCCTTTGCCCGGCTGGGGGGAACTGGGGTTCCACCATATGACAAGAGGTTACCAGTGCAGGGTTGGCGGCCAAGCAACTAACCTACAGGGGCTATTTCCAGGTTCCCCCTTCACCCCACCCAGTGCACCTGGGTCACCCCAAGTGTCTGGTGGAGTCTCCCCTGGAGTTCTCTGCCGCCTGCATGGCTGGTCCAAGCGAGCAGATTAATCACCATGGAGATTAACTGACAATGACAGGCCTGGATAAAGCAGAGCTGGGAAGATGCGCACACAGAGGTTCTTGAGTGATGAAAAGCTCATCTTGCAGGTGGGGCTGGCCCATGGCAACTGGCAAACAAGGGCCAAGCACACACCAGTCGTATCCTGCCCAGGGGATTTAGGAGCCCACCCCCCTTTGACCTGGAACGGGCTGTGCTGTCCTAGAACCGTTAGACACGTCTGAGACGCCCCCTCAGTGACTCGGTTAGGGCTTTGCTGCCGGTCAGAAGCCAGTGAATCTTGTGAGCAGGTGACTGCACTTCAGTGGCCCGCCTGAACCGGGCGCGCTCCGACTCCCAGGTGTGTGTGTGGGATCGTGTGGCCGGAACTGCCCCGGGGAACGCAGCTCGCCAGCCTGAGCGCCACGGCTCCACACCGGGAGGGGGAGGGGCCTCCTCCGCTCCCGTCTGCAGGGAAGCAGCCCCGCCAGCCCCACCCAGGACTTCGTGGCAGGCGAGGGGAGAAAGTGGCCCACGGCCGAAAGGGCTCTGCAGCCAGGACTCGCCAGCCACGTGGCTCTGCAAGGGGACCGGCTTTGCGCACGGGCAGCTTGCCAGCCGAAAGCGAGAACGGCTACGGCAAGCATCTCGCTGGGGCTGAAATGCCCCCCCAGCGGCATCCACGGGGAGCTGGTCAGGGGCGGCCCTAGACTAGCTGCCAGCAACTGGCGCCGTAGGCGAACCATCCAATCGGCACCCCCACCTCCAAACCCCTCAACGATAGGGCGCCTCCATTTGGCGCCCCATTTCACTTGGCGGCCGCCTAGTTCTCCTCTATGGATGGGCCAGCCCTGGATCTGGTGCACAGGCAGCACATTGCAGCTCCATGGGAATTGCCAGGAGGGGACCCCAGAAACCGCCTCCGTGCCCCCCCTCTGCTCAATCACCAGACTTCAGGGGGGGTCCAGCGCCGGTTCCTTCCTGCGTTA